AGGCTATTAATGGGCTTTATCACATCTGTAATTAATTCATTGACTTGCATGATGACCACTTTCCCAGAAGTGTAATAAAAGATTACTGTCAACTTAATCATATTTTAAGTGATTTGCTTAGATAGAGCAAGTATAATTTGAAGTGAATGATTCAACTAATGTCCAGCTTATATATCACATATACATAGGGAAATTTTATGTCATGAAATAGTATCAGGTGTTATGTAATGAGAACTTTGATGATGGGAATAGAATTATCTGTGTTTGTTAAATTTGTTCTATTTCTATAACATTTTGAGCAGAAGAAGGGGACAAAGTTTGTCATGAGTTAATATTCTTGTACCTGATTAATATTTGAATGCCTACACAATTAACAACCATCTGTTTTGATAAGAGGAAACTCTACTCATTCATAGTATCCTTAATCTCTTTGTCTCCATTAACAATAAATCAATATTTATTGTCTATTCTGAGGATAGGATAAGAGTTATCCACATCTGTTAAATTTGTTATAGTTATCTAATATTTTATTTTATGTATGCTTTAAAATTTTATTGTGTATCTCTGAATCAGTATACTCTTTTTTCTCTTTTGGTAAAGGTTATGTATATATATTCATTATATCGTAAACTTGGAAATGACAGGAAGAAAAAGTGATGAACCTGCTACTCAAAACTTTTATTTGTATTACTGAAATGCACTTTCTCTTAGCCATTTGTTCATTTTATCTTTTATCTAAATTTGGTATTGATCGGCAAGTTAATTACATCATAATGGACTATACATCAGAGCATAATTACAAAATACACTTTGATTCTATAATATCATGAAAACTTTATATAAAAAGTGTATTTCTTGATAATACTTTTGGTCTTGTTGCATTAGTTTTATTTTATATGCTTTATTATGAGTGCTAGAGGCAATAAGGGATTTTGCTGATTTTGTAAAGTGGGTTCTTCTTTAAGATGTACAACATCACAAGCCCCAGGTAGTTGTCTGGGTTTCTAGTATCAAGCATTATTCCTCTCTTATTGAAGAGGCCTTAAGTCCAGTTACAGATCTGTTGGTCACTATCAAGATATGGGTACTACTCTTGCACCCATTTGGTTATTGTGCTATGCTGATCTTTGTTGTAATTTGTAAGCATCATAGGTGGAAAGGACTACTAGTTACTACCCTTGTAGGTTTTCTTGGCACCTTCTGATGCTATGAAAGTAATTGACCCAACTCATCAAAATAAAGAAATAGACAACCAAAAATAACTGAATCAGAAGTTAACAAGGAAGTATCACAACAGACATCAAAGAAATCCAGAATATTCAAAGAGAATACTTTAAAAACTCATACTATATTAATTTGGAGAAGCTAAAACCTAATGAATTTCTAGATTCATTCCTGTAATTATTTAATCTATTTTGATCTAGTATCAGAAGATAAGCATTTTGCCTGTTATTTCAAAACTGATTTAAGTCCTTATTCATTGCTATTTTACATATATTTTTGTTATTCTTTTTGTTTTTGTATATATGGTACATTTTTAAACTGTCAGCACACTACCCTTTTTATTAATCTTTTTATTAATTCTTAGAAAGCATTAGTTAGTATCACAGCATATAATACCTGAAAATCAGACAGTTGATCACTTACAAATGGATCAGAGATGATATAATAATTGGCAACTTGAAAATGTGTCGCAGAAATGAATCTGAAGAAATATAACCCACTTTCCTTCTCTTTAAGGGAAAATAAGTGTCTGAAGAAAGTATAGAATATGTAACTATATTAGAGACAAAAACAAACAAATTAACAAAACTCAAACAAACGTCTAGAGGTAGATCAAAAGAGCCTTATAAACTTACAATTTTAGCACTAGAAAAATGGCTGAGAGACACTTGAGAAAGTGCACAACATCCCTAGCCATCCAGGAAATGCAAATCAAGACAACTTTGAGATACCATCTCACTCCTGTCAGAATGGCTAAAATCAAAACTCCAACGACAGTTTATGCTGGAGAGGATGTAGAGAAAGGGGAACACTCCTACACTGCTGGTGGGAATGCCGACTTATACAGACACTTTGGAAATCAGTATGGAGATTCCTCAGGAAAATAGGAATCAGTCTACCACAAGACCCAGCAATTCCACTCTGGCACAATCATACAACAAATTTGTTCCACTACATTCATAACAGCAGCATTTGTAATAGCCAGAACTTGGAAGCAACCTAGATGCCCCTCAACTGAAGAGTGGATAGAGAAAATGTGGTACATTTACACAATGGAGTACTATTCAGCAGGAAAAAATGGAATCTTGAAATTTGCAGGCAAATGGAAGGTACTAGAAGAAACCATACTGAGTGAGGTAACCCAGTTACAAAAAGAGAAACATGGTATGTGCTCACTCATTTATGGATTTTAGACATGAATCAGAGGAGTGCCAGCATACAATCCCACTGTGTAGGAAAGAGAACCTTCATCCAGCAACTGATGAAAGCATAGGCAGATACCCACAGACAAACACTGAACTGAACTCCTGGAAACCAGTGTCAGAAAGAGAGAACTGATGGGCAAAGGAAATAAGAGTGGGCTAGTTTAACCCACAGAAACAGCTGATCTGAACAAGGGGGAGTTCTTGGACTCCAGATTGCTGGCTGTGTGGAAAGCATGGGACTGACCCAGACCTCTTGAATGTGGGTGTCAGTGAGGAGGCCTAGGTAATATATGGGGCCTTGGATAGTATTTATCCCTGGTGTACAAATAGACTTTGAGTGTCAGTGCCACAATATGGGAGGCTCTCTCAGCCGGGACTCTTGGGGGAGGGTCTAAGCCCTGCCCTGGGTAAAATGACAGTTATTGGAGATCCATCATGGAGTGCCTCACCCTCCTTGGGGATCGGACTGGAGACTGGGTGGGGGACTGGGGGACCTGGTGGTAAGGAAGGGGGAGGAGGGGAGGGAGAGGGAGCTGAGATTGACTTGTGAAACAAAATTGTTTCTAACTTAAATTAATAAAACAAAAAAGAAAAGTGCTACTCTTTTATTAATATCTTTCCTTACAAAATAATGTGTGTAAACTTAAGAGAAACCCATGCATTGACCATGATTCTGAGAGAAGCTACCACATTAATTCATTTGCTTCTAAGCTACATGTACAAGTATGAGTGATGGCATTGTATACACGATATAGTTTTACTGATTTTATATTTATGTAATATGAGCATTCTGTATACAATTTCATGCAATACATGTTACTTAGTGGCTGTCTAGTATTTCATAAATTATTTATGCCTTGACTTTTATCTTACTACACTTTGCTGGACTATAATAAACATTAGTTCTGTGAAGATTTTCACAAGTAAATTTAGCACTTCTGATTATGCCGTTAGAATTCTTGTATTTGGAACTGGTAGCTTAGAGAATGCTTAAAGAGAATGCCACATACATATTTCACCTTTATATTAGGATTTGGTATTATGATGTAAGGATCTGTCATTGATTTCCCCAGGTTATAATAATGCTTTGTCCCTTGATTACTTACCTACTTGGTCTCTAATGTTATTTCCTTGAACAACTGTAGTTACTAAACAACTGAGTCATTAAACAGTGAAACCAAGGGTAAAGATTTTTTAATGGATTGAAATAGAAGTGGGTTGTTGAAAATAAATTAAGTAGCTCTCGTGGTTATTTTATGCTAATCATGTGATCCACATGGTGATCTGAACACCTTAGTGATTCACATGCCTTCTGCATCTATCATAGACTGCCTCTTAAAGTTGGCTTCTCTGCTACTATGCTCAAATAACTTCCCAACTGCCCACTGGGGCCTTTAAAGAATCTGTGATTTCCTCAGCCAACTTCTTTGTTTCTATGTCCATTTCTTTCTACTATTTCTATGGTTATGCCCACTTTCCTTTCTAGTGGTGTGATTGTGCTTGGGGGTTTTACAGAACACTTCTTTTCCCGGTTCTGATTTTAATCAGCACGATATAAATAGGTATTTGTTCCTCTGTGTGATTAGGATGCAGAAAGAACAAATCATCCATGGAATGCCTCTAGGAAAGCTTATCCCACCAGAGTACATTCCTCCTGTCTTTCCCATTTTAACACATATTGACAGAAACAGAACAAAGAAAGCAGGTGGCTGAACTTTAGAAGCCAGAGGGCTCTTAGGGAACCTTCCTAGCAGCAAGGCCTTTGAGGATTATTGACATTTGACATTTCCTCAAGCCCTTTGTAAAACTAAGTACTTCTGATGTGGAATGGTGAGTCTTCTTGGGCATCAAGGGATGGTGCTTCTGAAGTGAATAGGTGATTTGTTCAGTTCTAGCATTTTAAAGATGCATTCACATTTGACTCTTGTATAGGGGTCTTTCTCAGATTCTGTGGGACGACAAGTGTGTACCCCTCACCATTTCCCACGGCTTAGTTTCTTAAGCTTGGAAGTCATGGCTAAGGTGCTCTTGAACCAGACATTGAGACCTTATCAGGTTAACTATGTGAGAAAGAGGGTCATGCTTTGAGGACAGAGACACGACATGTCTTAGTGTGCTTAGAGTGCAATTCTAAGTTACTGAATAATTTGGTTTAATGCACATTGCACATCTGTGTTAGACTTATAAATGCTATAGCAACAGATTCTTGGATATTGCATTTTGTTTTGTTGTCAGATGATTTTTTCCTGGAAAGAGTGTGAGAGAGAAACAAAAGAGGTTGTTTTTGCTTTTTCCAATCAAACTGGAAACGTTAATGTTGCAAAAGTTATTGAAATTATTTGTTACAGTTAGGGTATTAGCTACTCCAGTAAATTGTTTTTATTTTACCCCACACCAGACTTGCATAGGGAATGGAAATCTGGGGGATATTACTATGATTAAAAAGTGCTGTGCAGGGTTCTATATATACAGAAGGGCTTGTGCTCTAAATTATACACATCAGCATTACCTATTGAACTGAATCACTCTAGTGGGTGTGGCTGAAACTGTTGTCTTTATCCTGCTTTCCAGGGAAAGGTGATGTATTTGGAGACATCTTCTGGAAGGAAACCACCCTTGCTCATGCTTGTGCCAATGTCCGGGCCCTGACTTACTGTGACCTGCATATCATCAAGCGAGAAGCCTTGCTCAAGGTTCTTGACTTCTATACAGCATTTGCAAACTCGTTTTCAAGGAACCTCACTCTCACTTGCAATCTAAGGAAGCGGGTACGTCTCTCATGAGTATCCAGTGGGCTAGCAGGCTATGTTCTATCAGTCAAGAATGGAAAGTGCTTCATTTTGAGGTGGTACATCCCCATATGAATAAAGTGATGTAATTTTGTTTACTTTTAAAGGGAGAAGATACTCTGATTATCTGGGTAAATATTTGAATATTTTTTACTTAAGATTCAAAACAAAAAACAGACTTGGGGAAAAGTAAATGGAGATGGAAATTTGTGCTGTGGCATGGTATATTAGTAGTCAGGTTTCAGATTGTCCAAGGTCTAAGAATCCAGTAGTTGTTCAGTTTACAAGGCTAAGTGAGTGTCTCAAGTGTTCTTCAGTATATGTCAGGATCAAAAAGAAGTCATCTCTAATGTTAGTGAAGGACTGAACTTGCCAGAGAGAGAGAGTGCAAGCAGGCAAAGAGCCAGATATCCCTTCTTCCTTGCCTTTTATATATGCTACCACCAGAAGATGTGACCCAGATTTATGGTAGATCGTCCAAACTCAGAAGATCCAGATTTAGGATGGGTCTTTCTAATTCAAATAGTTCAATCAAGAAAAATCCCTCATAGTTGTACTCAGTCCTTTGGTTTTTAGTTAATTCCAGATGTAGTCCAGTTGTCAAACAAAGATAGCCATCACATAATTTTAGCTTTGGAAGTTTGTGACAGTGCTCTAAAATGAACAGCAGTACTGTACTTTTAAGATGTGGATGCCTTATACTGATCTACTACCCAAAGCCCCATAGATTGCCTAGGCCTCCTCACTAACACCCACATTCAGGGGATCTGGATCAGTCCCATGCTGGATTCCCAGCTATCAGTCTGGGGTTCAAGAGCCCCCCCTTGTTCAGGTCAGCTGTTTCTGTGTGTTAAACAAGCCCAGTCTTGACCTCTATGCTCATCAGTCCTACCTCTCTGTGAGATATGCTCTCTCAGCCTGGACTTTCTGGGGAGGGCCTAGGCCCTGCCCTGGATGAAATGGCAGACTAAGAACACCCCCCATGGAGGGCCTCACTCTCCCTGGGGAAAGTAGTGGGGATTGGAAGAGGGGGCATGAGGGGGTTTGTGGGAGGGCTTGGGAGCAGGGAAGGGAGAGGGAGCTGGGATTGACATGTGAAGCAACCTTGTTTCTAATTTAAATTTAAAAATAAAAAAGACAAACAAAAGATATGGATGTCTTTAGAGTTGGGAATGTTAATCAAGATGGCTACCTATTTTCTATTCCCATTAGTCCTTAGATGCTTCTTCTCATCTCATAATTGACACACAAAGTTCCCTTTTCATCAATTCTTTCAAAGAACACCACCAGAAAATGAATTAGCTACACTGACATACACTGTAAATAGAGACAGGGTTCATTTATTCTGGTTCTGTTGCAAATTTTATCTACATCACCATTTGTTTCTTTATTGATGAGTGTGACATAAAGTTAATTTGCATAAAGTAATGTCCTCTCTCTGATTTATAGGCCATTGGGCATTGGCTAAGACTCTTTTATGGCCAAGAATGAAATACACATTTGGATAACTGCACTTAAGCAACTTCATATAAAATGATTGCCTGTCTACATTGAAGTATTTTTGGAATAACGGTCTTTTCTCTCAACAGCCTCTTAAAACCTTTCTTGTAGTTAACATGAAGGCAAACAAGCCAATCAAGAGAGAAATTAATGTCCACACTGTAGCAATGCAGAAAAAATCGAATTAAATCATTGTGCTTCTTGCTCAGGGTCCAAGAGAAGGCTAGGCTGGCAGGAATGGGAATCCCATGGACATTCCAAACATTTGATCTGTATTAGAGCAATGTTTCAGTTCATATATTTGTTAACAACTTGTCATTTAATATCCAGGAACTGTTGAAAAAGTGAACAGCTGTAGAAAACAGGGATGAACCGGACTTCTGTGCTTAGTAAGCTTCTAGTGTACATAGTGTGAAACACCAGAAATTGTACATTAGCCAGTGAGAGATGTGGGAGAAGGGCCCAAATGTGAACCAAATATGCAGTATTCTTGCCTGCTATTAGGGAGCCCACAGTTCTTGGATCCATACTCTGCTTTCTGCTGTAAGGTCTCCATTCACAAACAGCTATTTCAAGGTCTTATATTCACACTAACTAAAAATGGTTCAGATTTGTAACTCTTCCCCATTCTGTAAGGTGACCTACACTCTTACCTATCATAGTACATTTTGCAGAATACACACTGCCATTGTATTCTTCAAAACAGATTGCTTATATCAGATCTCATTTGATATTTATAATATTGTTATGACATAAGATGGGGACTTAATTCTTCCTCCATCCATGGAAGAAACTAGGGTCAGGGGGATTAATATTAAATAACCAACTGTTACTATTGTGACAATGAAACACCATGGCCAAAAGTAAGTTGAGGAAAGAGTTTATTTGGCTTGCACATCCACCTTTTAGTATATAACTGAAGGAAGTCAGAACAGGAACTCAAGCAGAGCAGGATCCTGGAAGCAGAAGTGTAGCAAGTTTTCTCTGGGGCCACCAACCAGCTCCCAAATCATGACATGGAGACTTATTATTAGTTATGAATACTTGGCTTGTTCTTGGTTGTTTCAAACTAGTTCTTATAACTTAATTTAACCTGTTTCTCTTCATCTACATTTTCCCTTTGGGCTTTTACCTTTCTTTCATTCTGTATGTTCTACTCCATGTTTGGCTATCTGGTGGCTGCCTGGCTAGATGGCTCCAGGCATCACCCTTTCTTCCTTATTCTCTTCTCTTCTCTCTTGAGCCTATATTCCTCTTCCTACTTATTCTCTCTGCCTATCATTCCCGCCTATCCATCTACTGCCTATCTGTTGGCTGTTCTGCTTTTTATTAGACAAATCAGGTCCCTTAGGCAAGCAAAGCAACATATCTTTACATTGTTAAGCAAATGCAGCATAAGCAAATGTAACATGTCTTTGCTGGTTAGAGTAATATCCCACAACATAAACAAGTATAACACATCTTTAAATATATAAAGTAATATTTCACAACACAGAAACTGAAGCAGAAGGCATGGGTTGGGTACTGCTCACTGGCTTGTTCATCATAGTTCGCTCAACCTGCTTTCTTATAGAATCCAGGACCACCAGTCCAGTGATGGTACCACTCACAATAGACTGGGCCATTCTCCCATCAGTCATTAATTAAGAAAATATCCCAAAGCTGGACATTATAGAGTCATTTGATTTTCAGTTGAGTCTCCCTGATTTCTCATGTCAGCTTGTGGCAAGTTGACATAGAACTAACCAGCACACCAACCCATATGGAGACAAGACAAAGTCTTAATAAGGAATAATTCAAACAGATCATGAGTAGAATACATATTTCATAAAAATAAATTAATCATAAAGCTCAGCTACATTTTGTCTCTTGCACATAATTGTGTGTTTGTACAGGTAAAACACGCACACACATTTTGTTGATTATTAGAGCTGACAGCCTGTATAACTGTGGTTCCACAATTTAAAATAATTGAGCTACAGACCAAGAACACTTGTTTGTTTTTATTTTTTTAATCAGGATCCTGGGACCACATGCTTGTCTCTACAGGTACTAGAGTGCTAAATTACAGTAACTTCTCCCCTTCCCTGTCTGCTATACCTTGCATTGCTTTTTAATTTTATTTGTTCCAATAACAATTCTAATCTAATTCATAATCACATCCCTCTGGTCTGCCTAGGTTATTTAGTAACTTGGCTAATTGGAGAACAGGATGTGTTATCAGTCTCTGTCACTTTATTCTCAGCCAAACAAACTGTGAAAGAGAATTGTGAAAGAGTATCTTGCAGTGATTAGTAATACCGACTACCATTTAAACAGGCTATTTTGTGTGCCTAGTCATAATGTATTTTATATATGGTAATATTATTAATATCAGGATCCCACAAACAGGGCAGGATAATCTCCATTTCAAATAGAAGAAAGAAGGCAAAATTTCTGTGGTACTTATACCTGCCAAGTAAATTGTGGGTCAAGATCTGGATTTTAACCATTTGATCCTGCAAGCTTCTCAAACAGCTGCCAGACTTTTCCATAAATATTTTTTCATAGACAAATGCTTCACAATTTGTAGGATATCTCATTTGCTAATTTACTTTATTGCCCATTGATTCACTAGTTTAAAAAATAAGATTGTTATTGCTGTTATTATAAGAAACATTGTGTTGAACAGTAGTCCCTCACATGTATAACTGACACTATGTTCTTAGTGAACTATGGATCTCATAGTGACATGGCCATTGGATAAGAATATGATTGTAGTAATTGGGACACCAGATTTTGAACTCAAGTTCTCAGCCATAGTGGAGTGCATCTCTGGCCATATTATAAATTTATACTTTGGTTCAGTGGAGATATTGTAGAGTTTGTGGTTTTCAATGACTGTACTAGAGAGGAATTGGTGATTCTTTGGTTTCTTGCCCTCATCTCCTGATATACAAATGAGGTTCCCCTTGACAGAAACTTAAGCCTTAAGTTCTTCTATGTAAAAAATGTTCTGGTAATTTTATCCAACAATTGATCTGAGATTAGCAAAATTTGAATCAAGGAACAGACAGTAAAAAATTTAGATTTTGTTTGCTAACCTCAACTATTTAACTTTGCCATTGTAGCACAAGAGCATCTTCCTACACTAGTTGACCATAACTGGTAAAAACAAGAACTTCAGTACAATTGTAAAATAATAGTATTAAGTGCCAGCAATACAAATAAGGCACAATAGTAGTCATTTCACCCATGGGAAGGCTGAAGTTCTGAGACTGGGATACAGTACCCCAAAGACTGATTGTTTTAAATAAGAGTTTTTCAGTCTGGCAATTAGGAAGCCTAGTTGATTGTCTGGCCCTTTTGGTTTCACGGTGAGACCTCTTTCATGAGTTTGCAGGTTGCTACCTTCTCAGTGTACCCTCATGGTGGGACAGGGAAGGATAGACTCTATGCCTTTCTTCTTAAAAAGGGCCACCAGTGTAAACAGGCTAATA